CTGGGATGGTGGCTTAGAGATGGGAGGACAGACAGGCCCCACGGCAAGGGGAGCCCCACGTCCCCCTGTGCACCCCGGACCCCTGGCTCTCCAGGCTCCAGCCGGCAGCCGCTGCCGGTGACGGCGTTTGCGCACAGACACTTAGCTTGTGCGCGCCTGGGCGTTGACTAAGGTAGCGGGGTTACGGCGGGAAGTCTCCCTCCCAGCCCGGCCCTTCCAGCTCCCTGCCCCTGACGCACCGGCGCCCCGGTTGGGACACCCTGCATTTTGCACAACTGTGTGTTCATTCTCCCCCGAACCAAGCACGGGCCATTCCCCCTGCAAGGCACCTGTCCCTTTTCCCTTAATCACACCCTGGCCACGCCCCGGTGCCCGTGCAGAGCTTGCTCGCTCTTGGTGTCAGCCGCGTGGGAGTCCACGGCTCGGTGGGGTGCGCGTTGGCACCGGGCTGGGCTGGGGCGGCGTCGGCTCCACTCTGCTGCGCGTCAGGCTCCCCTGCCTGCCTCGGCAGCGACCGCCTGGCCTGCCATGTGCACCCTCCCCTTGGTCCTCACACACCGCTGCCGCCGGGGACAGGAGGGCTGCGGGTGTGCGGTTTCAGGCCGCGCCTTCTGGAATCTTTCCCCAAATTCGGCGGCCCAGCAGGACCTTGGCCTCCTAGAATGGTTTTGCTGTTATTCCCGGGGTCCCCAGTGGGGCCTGACATAGGGCCCCCAAACGCACCTGGGGGGACTGTGGGTCGTCCCTGCTCTCTTCCTGCTCTGCCCTCACTCGCTCAAGTCTGCCACCTCCCTGGACACGCGCCGGGCCAAGGCCTCTCCTGCAGGTGCCCAGGGAGCCCCTGCCCCTGGGGGGCCGGGAGGGGCCCCCTTCCCGATGTGCCGTCCCGAGCCTCGCCCCTGGACCTCCTACTGACCGCCACTCCCCCCGCCTCACAGCTACGTTGCCACCCTCCCTCCTTCCCCCTACCCCAGCCCCCTGGCACTGATGCACATAGCCGGTGGGTCGGGGCGGGGCGGGGTGGGGTTGAGCAGATGTCGGCCTTCCCGCAGGAGCCGGCCCTGCTGTGGGCGGGGGCTCCGTTACAACTCTGCCTTCTCCCTCCAAATCCCCCGTCCAGTTCCTCGTTCCGTGCCCGTTTCTGTGCTGCACACCCACCGCACACCAGGTCCTTGTGGGAAGTCAGAAAACGTAGGTCGTCGCTGCGATAATCATCTAATTTCGGTCCGATAAATGCCACCGGGAAGCGCTGAGCCCTCCAAGGCCTGCTCCTGCCCAGGTCCCGTCCCCTCTGCCGCCAGGTGACCCAGCTCTCCTCTCACCCCTGCAGGCCTCGCCTTCTCGCTGCCGGCCCCTCTTCAGATCGCAGCCCCCTCCTTTCTGCTTTCCTCTTCTCCACCGTCTTCCCGCATCTCCCCCCTCTCCCGCCTGCGCTCGCCTTGGGCGCCGCTGCTTCCCGCCTGCGCACCTGCGGGCTCCGGGGTGCAGTCCCGTGTGGGGCCTCTGCCTGTCTCTTGCGCTCCACCCCGGCACCTAGGAAAGTGCCAGCACCTAACAGGTGCTTAGCAAATGCCCGTACCACGGAGGTGACCTTTCCAGCTGTTGGGCAGCTGGGGAGGAAGATGTCAGGGGACATTGTCCTGCCACTGGGGCAGACCCGGGTTTTGCAGGGCCTGAAGGTTTAGACAGTTTTGGGCACGGTCTTTAAGAAAAAGAAGATACAGTTACACGCACGAAATCAGGGCCAGGGCCTTGAGCTGAAGCTTCAGTAGCCTCAAAGGAAACCCCGTGCACTGAGCCCGAGGCACGGCTGGAACAGCGGGGACCGCGTTCTAGGCGTTCTGGGTGGCAAGGATGGTGTTCTGGGCGGCGGGGATGGCCGTGGGAAGGGCCATGGAGAGAAGGCTTGTGTGGCAGCAGCCTGGCAGGCGTGGACCCCAGGGTGGAGGGGCTGGAGACCCAGAGGGGCGGGGTCAGGGGGTGGCGGGCGTGACGTGGCCCTGCTCCCCAGGGATCGGAGCCTGGTGAGATGACCTCTGGGTTCCAGCAGGACCCAGGCTCGGCCGGCTGACGCCTTTCCACTCGTGCCAGCAGCCCCAGCCCTCCCTGTCAGCTGCCAGGAATGTGTCACCCCTGCTTAGGGGTCCTTTCTCCCCTCCACCCACCCAGAGAGGTCTCTGGGGCTGGCTGGGGAGGCACCTTCCTCCTCCTCCTCCTCCCCCCCAGCTCTGCTCAGAGTAAAAGCTCCCAGGGGTCCTGGCTGGGACTGTGCCCTGCAGCCACTGCCAGCCATTTGCATCACAAATGAGGCTCCCCGGGCTCTGGGCACCCGCCAGCCCGCCCCGGGGCTGCCCAAGGTGACTTAAGGACACAGGCCAGGATCCAGCCGCTGAGCAAGCTGCCCTCCCCCAGCCGCCAGACCATGTCCCTGGGGAAGGACGCCCTGGTGCCCCGCCTGCCTGGGATCCCCTGGCCTGGACGCTGCCCCACCCACCCGGGGGGAACCACCACCGTCAGGCCAAGAAACTCAGCGCCGGGCAAGGAGGCTCCGAGGGAGCTCGGTGCTTGACAGACGCTCTCTCCTTTAGCACTCACGGCAGCCCACTTTACAGAGGAGGAAACTGAGGCTCAGACAGGGTGAGTGACATGTCCATGGCCCCTCAGCTAACACCCGGCGGAGCCAGCGCTTGAATCCGTGTCATTCTGTCCTAGAGACGGCACTGTGAACCCAGATTGTCCCCTCGAGGGCCATCTGTGCTTGCCCTGGACACGCAGCGGGAGCCCGGGCGTGGCGGCCGAGCGGGAAGGCTGCCTCTCCTTCCACACTCTGAGCCCCGAGGGGTCGGGCGCTGCCCTGCCCATCCCTGGTTCTGGTTTCCTGCACGCTGCCCTGCATGCAGCAGGCACTCCTTAAGTGCTGCCAGAGTAGACAGTGGAATGCAGGAAGGGAAGACATGAACGTTTGGAGCCTATGTCGGTGCTGTGCCCAGCTCAGGGTCCCCAGCACTGAGCCTGGCCCCACTGGGGTGCTGGAAAGTTCTCTGAGATCCACAGTTACCTGTCCACCACAGACCTGGTGAACTGGCAGGGGCTCTCACCTCAGAGCCAGCAAGCCCGGCCTGGGGTGGCATTCGGGGTCCGCTCACAGGGCGGCCTCCCTCTGGGCTTCCCTCCTGCCCCAGGGCCTTTGCTCCTACTGTCTCCGGCCCCAGCCTGGACATCTCCCAGCAGGGCCTCCAGGGCTGCTGTCCCCGGCCTTCGTTTCCATGGCACATTCCTGCAGACTCGGGCATCCTCCTGCAGGAGGAAAACCACACCCAGCCTCGGCTTTCCTGGAAGAACGGGGAAGTGGCAGCCGCACACCAGGCGGCATCACTTTCGCAGGGCCCCAGCACAGACCAGGGACACGGGAGCCCTCTGCCTGCTCTGCTGGCCGGGCCAGGGCCTCCTGGAGGGAGAGCGCTTGCTTTTGTTATATTGCCCCGGAACCCACCCCCTGTCAGGCACTTAGTAGGTGCTCAATGAACGCCGCGTGTTTCCTGGGCTCCTTACTCACAGGATGTTAGCAAGAGAACAGCTATTATTTTCTCCTCCACCTGCTTTCATGCTTTTTTTTAAAGCAGTGCAGTCTTTTTAAAACAAAAAGATCTGGGAGTGGAGCTGCCTCCTCCGGCAGGGTCCCCTGTGCACCTGCGGGGACAGCCAACCGGGGCACCACTGTTTTGTGTGCCCTGTCTTTTTTGCTTGTTTTTTGAGACAGAGTCTCACTCTGTTGCCTGGGCTAGAGTTCTGTGGCGTCAGCCTAGCTCACAGCAACCTCAACTCCTGGGCTCAAGCAATCCTCCTGCCTCAGCCTCCCAAGTAGCTGGGACCACAGGCATGTACCACCATGCCCGGCTGATTTTATATATATATACATATATATTTTAGGTGTCCAGCTAATTTCTTTCTATTTCTTTTTTTTTTTTTTTTTTTTGTAGAGGCAGGGGTCTCGCTCTTGCTCAGGCTGGTCCTGAACTCCTCAGCTCAAGCGATCCTCCAGCCTTGGCCTCCCAGAGTGCTGGGATTACAAGGGTGAGCCACCGCGCCCGGCCCGTGTGCACTGTTGAGACAACTCGCACTGTAGGTCCATGGAGGAGGGTCGTGGGGAGGGGTCCGTTCTTGGAAGGATCAGCAGCCCCACCCACGGCGGGGGGCTCGGGCTGTGGAGGCCATCCCCCGCTGAGTGGCGTTTGGCATCGTCACCCTTTCGCAGTGTCCTCCCGCTTGGTCAATGGAGCCATCCACCGACCACACAGGGGTGCTCGGGGCGGGAGTGGGAGGTGCCAGCCCCCGCAGGGCCCGCACCCAGCCCCGTGGGCTCCCGAGGCCCCTCTGGTGGGAGTGGTGCAGTGACAACGGCCACAGCAGGCCTCCAAGGGCCCGCACTGGGTTTCATGTCTGCTGTCACCATTTCGAAATCCTTGATTTTTCAGCCAGGGGCTCTGCGTTCACTTTGCACAGGGCCCCGCGCCATCGGTGACAGCGAACACCTGCCGAGCCCTCGTCATGTGCCAGCCCTGTGCTAGGCCAGCGGCCACACAGCCTCCCTGAAACGGCCAGGGATTCTGTCACAGGCGTGGTTCTTACCAACCCATTCTGCAGATGGGAAACCGAGGCCCGGGAGCGCCTGACCCAGGCAACTCCTGGCAACCCTGGCCTTGAAGATTGATTCTGGCCCAACCCCCTCTCTGCTAAAACCGAGACACAGGGAGGTTAGGGTTGACGCAAGGGGACACGGCCCCCGGGTGCAGAGCCGGCCGTCCCCCAGCCGGGAGCCAGAGGCCACCTGCCTACTCGTGGTGCTGCCCCTTGGCCTTTTCGAAAGGCCCGTTCCTTTCACCACATTTCCTTTCCGGGGGGTGGGGAGGAGGGCTGGGGAGCACTGTCGCAACTCAGGGGTGAACTAACCCGGGGCGTTAATCAGAGCAGCCACTTCCTCTCACCAGAGAAGCCGCCTCTCACGCTCCACCTTCTATATTTAGACCGGGCCTCGCCTGGGCCGGGCTGGGGTGTGGCCGGGCCTGCTGCCACTTCCGACCGGGAGGGAAATTTCCGCCTGTTTCCCGAGAAGCGAGGCCAAGGAGGCTGCGGGTCCCGGCCGACCCCGGCTCTCCATGTCCGCAGCAGCCACGGGCTGCAGGGGACTCCTCCGCCAACCCCGGCCCGGCCCGGCCGTGCCCCGACGGAGAGAAGCCCACGCCCACGGCACGTGTTCGTGCACGGACCCGGTGTCCCCAGGGTCTTCCCCGGCCCAGGAGCTGTCCCTGACACCACAGGGAGCACGTCAAGGCCCCTGGCCTCCGGGGCTGCAGTCGAATGAGGGAGACGGAAGTGAACACACAGAAAGTTAAAGGAACAGGAACAGGATAACTCGAGAAAAGGCCGTGAGGAGCTGAGTCCAGGCAGTGACAGGGAGGGCTGTCAGAGTGGGGCAGCTCAGGGGCGCAGGGGGGATCTGCCGGCCCTGGGGGTGCGGACAGGCCTGGAATGGGAAGAGACCCAGGAGAGCTTAGGGCAGAGGGCGTGCAGGCGCCAGCGTCGCAGGTGGGGCCGTGCGGCCGGCGTGGCCAGAGCCGAGCACGCTGGAGACGGGTGGGCGCGGGCCCTGCAGGGTCCCCGTGGGCCACAGAGATGGGCGTGGGTGCCGAACATGGACAGAAGCCGTCAGATGCTTTGAGCCCACAGTGACAGGAGCTGCGTGGTGTTCTCAAGCCCACCCTGCTGTGTGGCGCAGAGGGGGCAAGGGTCGTGTGAGGGAGGTGTTTTGCAGCATTTCTGAGCTTGGGTCTCCACCAGGCTGGTTCTGCTTCCCAGGGGACACTGGCCAACGTCCAGAGACAGTTCTTGTTGTCACAGGTGGCTTCCGGCAGGTGGAGTCCAGGGACGCTGGCAAACAAACGCCCCACCACAGAGAACGACTCTGCCCCAAGTGTCCAGGTGCTGAGGTCCAGACAGCCCGGTCTAGTGGGAGGGGGTGGGGGGGACCAGGTGACAGCAGCGGGGGAGGGGCGGGGAGGGGACAGGGGTGTGTTCTGAAGGCAGAGCTGGCAGGACAGGATGGCTTCGGGTGGCGACGGGTGCGTCGTTGACAAGGAGCGCAATGGGAGGGGGCAGGAGAGGCCTTGGAGCGGAGGTGACACGGAGCAGAGGCTCGAGTGATGAGGACCCCCCCGGGAGGATCCAGGGAGACCGTTGGGGGAGGGGTGCTCAAAGGCAGGCGGGGACGGTTCGTGCATCTGAGACTGGGCCTGGGCCCGGTGGCCGGCAGGTGGTGAGAAAGTGAGACCCAGGGGCAGCGGCGGGCAGGCCCTGGGAGCCCTGGACAGGGAGCCCAGAGACTGGGCTTCAGGCTTGAACTGGCCGCTGATGGCTGGTGCCTTTGGAAAAAATCACTCTTTTAGGGCTGCGGTTTCCTCCTCTCAAAGTAGAAAAAATTAGCCAGGTGTGGTGGTGCCCACCTGTAGCCCCAGCTACTGGGGAGGCTGAGGCAGGAGGATCGCTTGAGCCCAGGAGTTGGAGGTTGCAGTGAGCTGTGATGACGCCATGGCACTCCAGCTGGGGCAACAAAGCGGGACTGTCTCAAAAGAAAAAAAAAAGAAAAGAAAAAAAAAAGCAGCCCGCGAAAGCTGTAAACTCAATCCCAGGTGTGAGTGACCTCGGAGATCCAGGCAGCGTGGGAACCCCCAGTGCAGAGCGAACACGCCAACGAACACGTGTCCGCGGGACAGTTCCACGCTCGTCTCTGGCAGCGCCCCCGTGTGGTGGCAGGATGCCACGGCGGTAGCGAAGTCTGGCAGGGACTGCCCCCTGCCCCCACCCGTGGGAGGAGGAAGACTTCGGGGTCCTTGGATGATTCTAGGTGAGAGGGGACTCGAGTGGGAGGCTCTGGGCCCTGCTAGCGTGCCGCGTAGGCACCCGAGGGATTCGGGGACACAGGCGTGTGGTCCCTGGTGTCATACGGTGGAGTGGTTAGTTCTGACTTCGTGGGGGGCTCTCAGGGGAGCCGGGGGTGGGGGATGCGGATTCAGGGAGGGCTCCGGCCACCCCGGCTCACCAGCAGCCCTGTGCTCACAGGCGAATCGACTGGTCCTTTCTCCGTCCTTGGCCTGTTCGCCGTGTTTGATTGTCGTGCTCTGCCACCCCCACCTGGGGAGGGCTCATCCTCGAGCACGGGGGCTCAGGATGAGGGGAGGCAGGGGCTGGGCTGGCGGGCGGGAGGCTCTCAACACCCTCCCCAGAGCGCGCGCCGCTCTACAGCATACAGCGATCAAAACGAAGCCGACGCTACTACCACATACTTCCTGCTCAGACGAAGACAGAGCCACCCACCCGCGAGAGCGCGCAGCATCGACCACGGCAAGTGACGGTATTGCAGATACCTCTGCGAAATGAGCAAGGCGAGCTATGCGGCAGTGGTGTCGCTGAGGGAAATGCAACTAGTGGATGTCATGGGAAGAGCCGAGAGAAATGCGCCACGTGGCTGTTATGTGAGAGCGCCAGAGGAATCGCAGACAGTGGACTGCTTCATGGGAGATGCGCAGGGCAATTGCGACCACAGTGGACTGTGACATGGGAGAGCGCAGAGGAAATGCAGACAGTGGCTGTTACCATGGAGGAGCGCGGGAATGCAAAAAGCTGGACTGTTCATGGAAGTGCGAGCGAAACTGGCGACAGTGGGCTGTTACATTAGGGAGGCGAAGAGGAAATGCACGCACAGTTGGGTCGGTACATGGGAGAGGCAGAGGAAATGCAGACGTGGCTGTTAATGGGAGAGCCGCAGAGGAAATGCGCAGTGAGACTGTTACATGGGATAACGAGCGGCAGAGGCTGCAGACAGTGGCTGTCACATGGGAAGAGCTGCAGAGGAAAATGCAGAACTGTGGAGCTGTTACTGGGACAGTGGAGGAAATGGCAGACGTGGCTGTTTACACTGCGGAGAGTGAGAGATGCAGACAAAATGTGCGACTGTTACTGGGAAGAGCGAGAGGAAATGCAGACGTGGACTGTTCATGGGAGAGCGCAGAGAAATGGCACGAACCACAGGGACTGGTTTACATGGGAAGAGGCGCAGAGGAAATGCAGACAGTGGACTGTTACATGGGAGAGCGCAGAGGAAATGCAGACAGTGGACTGTTACATGGGAGAGCGCAGAGGAAATGCAGACAGTGGGGACTCGTCTACTGGGAGAGATCGGCAGAGGAAATGCAGACGTGGGACTCGTTGACATGGGAGAGCGAGAAGGAATGCAGCACAGTGGACTGGTTATACAGATGGGAACGAAGTGCAGGGAGGAAATGCAACAGTGGATGTGACATGGGAGCGCGCAGAGGGGAAATGCAGACCACAGTGGACTGGGGTTTTTTTGATGGGGAGCGGCAGAAGGAATGCAGACCCAACAGTGACTGTTACATGGGGAGAAGCGCAGAGGAATGCAGACAAGGTGGACTGTTAGCATGGAGAGCGAGGACCAATGGCAGACAGTGACTGTTACATGGGAGAGCGCAGAGAATGTCGCAGACAGTGGACTGTTTACATCGAGAGGACGGAGAGGAAATGCGAGACCACAGTGGATGTTCATGGGAGAGTTGAAGAGGAATGCAGACTGTGGACTGTTACAGATGGGAGAGCGCAGAAGGAAATGCAAGACACAGTGGAACTGTGACATGGGGGCAGTGCAGAGGAAATGCGACCAGTGGACTAGTAGCATGGGAGAGCGCAAGAGGAAACCTGCAGACGCACAGTGGAATGTGAACATGGGAGGCGGGAGAGAGAATCAGCAGTGGAGCTGGTCTACATGGGGGCGCAGAGGAAATGCAGAAACCCAACAGTGGACTGTTATGGGAGAGGCGCAGAGGAAGATGCAGACAGTGGACTGGTGCTGGGAAGAGCGCGGAGGAAATGCAGACGGGCTGTTACGCGGAGAGCGCCAGAGGAATGCAAGACACAGTCGGAACTGTTACTGGACGAGTGGAGAGGAAATGGCAGAAGTGGACTGTGACTGCGGAAGCGCAGAGGAAATGCAGACAGTGGACTGTTACATGGGAGAGTACAGAGGAAATGCAGACTGTGGACTGTTACATGGGAGAGTGCAGAGGAAATGCAGACAGTGGACTGTTAGATGGGAGAGCGCAGAGGAAATGCGACCAGTGGACTTGTTTACATTGGGAAGAGCGCAGAGGAAATGCAGACAGTGGACTGTTACATGGGAGAGCGCAGAGGAAATGCAGACGTGGCTGTTCACGATGGGAGAGCGAGAGGAATGCAGAAACGTGGACTAGATTACCTTGCGGAGAGCGGCAGAGGAGTGCAGACGCCGTGGACTGTTACATGGAAGAGTGAGAGGAATGCCAGACCTGTGGCTGTTAATGGGGAGTGCAGAGGAAATGCAGACAGTGGACTGTTACATGGGAGAGTGAAGAGGAAATGCAGACAGTGGCTGTCTAGGCCATGGGAGAGTGCAGAGGAAAATGCAGACTGTGGACTGTTACATGGGAAGAGCGAGAGAAAAATGCAGACCACAGTGGCTGTTCGCATGGGACGCGTGCATGAGGAGGAAATGGCGAGATAGTGGACGTGACATGGGAGAGCGCACGCGCGAATGCACGCACTCGCTCCTCCTTCGCGAGAGCGCAGAGGAACCTCGCGCTCTCGCGCACTGTTTAGCAATGGGAGAGGCGCGCGGCCCGCTCACGCGCCGCGCGCTCGCTCGGGGTCCCCACTGGGAGCGCGCAGAGAAATGAGACCGTGAGTGTTACATGGGGAGCGGAGGAAATGCAGACAGTGGACTGTGACATGGGAGAGCGCAGAGGAAATGCAGACAGTGGACTGTGACATGGGAGAGCGCAGAGGAAATGCAGACAGTGGACTGTGACATGGGAGAGGTCACAGCCGGTCAAAGGGAAAAATACTGTAAAGTGATAAAGCCCATTGCTGGCTGGGGCGTGGAGAAATGACACATCCCCTTTGCTGTGAACAGGTTCGGATTGTGAAGACCCATGTGTGTGCGTGAAACCAGCCAACGCGACGTGTACGACCGTCTGGCCAGGCATGTGGTCTTGAGGTGGGGTGCCGTATCCGAAGAAATAACCTTTGGGGACTAAAGTGTTCAGAGTGGCATTATTTAAAAGTGGGCTGTGGAGAAAACCAAAAAGCCCAGACATCCCGCGTAACCCTCGGGAGCACTCACACTATCTGGGGTGCGGAGCACGCTCTGGCTCTGATCCTGTCACCACCCTGTGCCCCCATTTTACAGACGACCAGGGGACAAATGGAGTCTAGCCCTTCCTCCAGGGCCATGCAGAGAGCGCAGGGTTGAGCCCGGGCAGCCCCGCCCGGTGCCATCCTCCCAGCCCCGCCCGGGAGCGGAGTCAGTTATGCCCCGAGGGGGAGGTCGCTGCTGTTGGGTGTGCTGCCGCCTGGCTGTGTCCTGAAGACAAAGGAGGTCTCTGCCTTCTGCCCCGCAGCCAACGGGAGCTGCTGCCCGGAGGCATGCCCCAGCTTGCGGTTCTGGAATGCGGACGGGCCGCCATCCTCGGAGACCTGCACCGGTGGCCGGTGGCCGGGCCCAGCCCGGGACCGTCAGCTCACTTTCTGTATCCGCCCAAGGAACCGGGCCACACCCTCCACGCCGCCTAAACGGAGTTGAGCAGTTGGAGCGACGCCCTGGAACCCTTGTGTCCCCCCTGGGAAGGTGCCAGGGGCGTCGCGGTCACAGGTAGGCGCTGGTGGGACAGCCCGAGCTCCAGGCACCTGCGGCTTGAAGGTGTTTGTGGAATGTGGGCAGTGCTCTTGGCACGGGGTGCAGCAGGGGACCCTCGGGCTCCTGAAAAGGGATGGAGGAGACACACCCTCGTGACACTCGTCTGATTCTGGTGCAGTGTTTATGTGACTGCTGTTCTTGGGGTTCCAGCCTCCCCAGCTCTACAGAACGGGACTGGCCTGCGTGAGTGTGTTGGCAGCGTGGGACACGGGCCAGCACAGCCCACAGGATGCTCTGTGCGGCACACACGGGGCACAGAGAGAAGCTGCTTCTCTTCAACCCCTCTCCTTGGCCCCTGGCAGGGTCACTCCAGATGGTTTGGGTCTCCCCAGCCCCTTCCCTTCCTTCCATATGTCTGCTCAGTCACCCTCAGTATGTTGACTTTTAGTCCTCTTGCCAGTTTCTTCCTGGTCACAAAACGGCTGCCACTGCCCCAGGGCTCCTGACCTCATAGCAGCTCAAGCAGGGCAGCAGGGAGACATCTCATTGGCTGGGACTGGGTCACGTGGCTACCACCAGCGGCAGAGGAGCCTGGGAAAGCAAGGCTCTGGCAGAGGACGGCTACAACTGGACCCACTGGGGTTCATCCCTCGGGCAAGGCTTGTTGCTGGCCCAACCAAATTGAGATTTCGGTAGCAAAGGAAGAAACAGGGAATGGGTTTTGAGCGGGCCGCCAAGAGGGAGTGTGACAAGGGCCGTAAGTGCCTGTGTCCTCCCCCTGGCATAGGTGCTTCTGTGTGTCTGCACCCCCACCCCTATGCTCTGAACTCTGGGCGGGGACTTCTGTGTGTTCGGGTCTCTGCTGTGCCCCCACATCTAGAGCAGCACCTGGCACGGCGCAGCTGCCTAGTAAATGTCAGTGTTCGTGGGGTGAACGGCCAACCCCACGAGGTGGCCGGCACCGCCACCCCTACGTTATAGGCGCGAAACCGCCCTAGAGGGGCAGCTGCTTGCCGGAGTCGAGCCGGCACTCCTCACCCCTGCAGAACGCGGCCCCCCTGCTGCGCGGGCCTGAAGCAGAGGGTTCTAGGCTCGAATCCTTGCTCTGTGGTTACCTGCGTGACCCCGGGCAGCTGTCTCAACCTCTCTGGGCCCCGCTCCTTGTCTGCACAAAGAAACAGCCCCTCCTGCCAAGGGCGCCCGAGCTTGGGGTGGTGGCCGGCTCTGCTCTCAGCACGGAGCCCCCGGCCGCTGCGCCCATGGCTGCGTTCCCATCCCATAGATCCTGAACATGGCAGGCGCTCGGGGCCACGGTGCCCCTGGGGTCAAAGGAGGCCTGTGTGACCCTGAGCTTCTGCCTGGGGAAGAGCCCTCCCGTGGGGGCCGGTTCCCGGGCCGTTCCCGCGGCTCCGCTTCCCCGCCCCTCCCCTCCCCCACGGCGCCCCTTTGTTGTGCTGTCCTGGCGCTGGTTGCTGTTTGCCTTCCCCATGGCCCTCGCGTCTGGGCGGAGGCGGGCGTGGCGCCAGGTGCCGGGGAGAACCCAGCAGGGCGGGCACCTGTGTCTGCGCCCCCCCCCACCTGCGGGTGCTGGCCAGGGCTGTGACCCCCCCTTCCTGCCGTGCCCAGGGCCGCGGGGCTTCCCGGGGCTGTGACTTTCAGTTCAGAAGGGGAAAGTCCCGGCACAGCAGGGCCGGTTGGTCAAGCGGGTGGTGGCAGCAGGTGGCCAGGGCACAGGATCTGCCCCAGGACGGCGTGCTCCCCTCCGGTGTGGCCGCTCGCGGGCCTGTGCCAGGCCTGGCTTGGGCGCCAGACAGGGCCGAGTGTGGAGTCCCCGTCCGTCCCTTGCTAGTGACTCGGGGAGTCATTTCACTCCTTCAGTGAAATGGCCGTGAGGGTTCCGGCTCTCGCAGGGACGTGGGGCGGGGACTCAGATGGGAAACGGACCTGTGGCGCCGAGCAGAGTGTAGCGTCTGGCACAGGCATGAACACACGTATGCTTATGTCATTGGAGCTCCTGCTTCAAACCCAGCCTCACACGGCTATGGAATAAAACCCGACAGGCCCTTGAAGCTCCGGTGACCCCTGACCTGGCCTCCTCCCTCGGCCCCTGCCACTCTGCGGCAACGGTGCTGCCTCCTGGCTGGCCTGGCCCACGCTCCTCCCTGCCTCAGGGCCTTTGCACGGCTCCTTCCTCCCCCGGAGCTCCATCCCTTCTCCCCTTCTCGTCTGTGGGACTCAGCTTCAAGGTCACCTGCACAGAGAGGCCCCCCTGTCTCCATGGGGACAGGCCATCTCTTGGCTGGTGCACTGTGGTGCTCCGTGCCTGGCCCAGAGCACAGCTCAGGGGCCGTTTGCCGAGTGGATGAACATATGGACACCCGCTGGAGAAAGGGCCCGGAGCCTCCGATCCCTTTCCTGCCCCGAGCCCGGTTCCCGTCCGTCGGCAGGGAGGGCAGGAGGTGCACCTCCTCCAGCTCTGTGAGTCCGCTCACCGCACCTGGCATGTGGCGGGACCTGGGGACAGACAGCTCTGCTGCTGGGGCCCTGGGGTGCCCCCAACACCCAGGACGCCCACATGTGAGTGGGCGCCCTCCACACTCCCCGCAGACCGGGAGACTGAGCCGGAGGTCGCCGCGCTCACCCGGCTCCTTCCCAGCCTGGTGCCACAGTGCCCGCCGGGCAGGCAGCTGGCTGGTCCCATGCCCTCGCCTCGGCCGCGCAGGGGGCGGGCCCCTCAGGGACTCCAGCACATTGTCAAAGCTGTCAAACAATTTCCCTGCCAGGTTTTTACAAGAATCCAAGGCCTCTGTGCCAGATGCCAAACGCCCTCTCAAGACAATACCTCTGGGGCCTGCGGGCCGTCCCGCTCCTGGGCCTTATATAGGCAAAAGCCGGGGATCCCGCTCCTACCCTGGCTGCCTGGCCTGACCCCGGGATCTCCCTTCTCAAATTCGCCATCCTCGGCCGGGGCGGCGGGGAGGCCTGGAGAGCTCGGGCCTGCTCAGAGCCTCGGGTGTCCCGCCGGCCGGCAGCCCGAGTGGCCCGGCCAGCGCCGGCTCTTACCAAATAAGGCCGCAGCAGCTGCGCCTGGCCAGGCTCAAACTCCGGCTGCTGGGCGGGCGGCCCCGGCCTGCCTGCTCCTCTCCTCCCCCGCTGCTCTGCACCCCGCCAGCAGACCTGCCAGCTGCGCTTCTTGGGGCTGGAAAGAGAACCCCAGTTCTTCAGGGTCCCCCTGGAGAGGAATGTCCCTTTAGAGCCCTTAGAATGTTCCGTTCAGAACCTTGAGAGAAGGCGAGGGGGAGACACACTCCGGGGGCTCCCGGGCAGGGACCTGCCCCCACCCCAACAAACCACCCGGAACACACCGGGCATGGCGCCGGGCAGGGGCAGGCCCATGGGGGGGCGCCCTGGGACTGGCCATGGCTCAGGAGCCACAGCGGGCATGGAGCTGACACGTGTGCCTGTCTTGGTTCCGGCAGGCAATGTCACTTCTTGGAGCCTCAGTTTTGCCATCCTTAAAATGGGTGTGACGGAAGCCCTGTGTCCGGGCGGCAGTGGGATTCCCGGGCAGGAGTGTGAGGAGGGATCTGCAGGCGGCTGCTGGGGACTCGGGTCCCTCCCTTCATGGAGATGGGGGAGGCGAGGCTCTCCCTCTGTCCCTGACCCCTCCCCAGCTCTGCCTGCCCTCCCGCTGTCTCAGGGGCCCTGGGGGGTCCCGAGGGCCCTGGAGACTCTCCCTGGGGCGTCACCTCCGACTCTAGCCCTGGGGGCACACACTGCGAGTGCAGCCCTGCTGTTCCAGAAAGTTCTCTGTGGTCTCCAGAAACCACCCACACAGAAGCTGGGGACTCGCAGCTGTTCTGTTGGAGCCGCGGGGATTCCGCTCAGAACCTTCCGGACGCCCGCCCCATGTGACAACTGCTCCGTCTGGGTGGGGACGGGCTTGGCTTGGTCGCCGGAGTCTCCCGGAGCTGGGGCAGCGCTGGCACGGGAGCCGTGGGTGACCTTGCCTCGGGTGACCTGCCGCGGGGCCAGCGCAGTCTGAGCTGGGAGCTGGCGTTCCTCCACGCCTCGCCGGGCGGGGACGTTCCCACCGAGACTCGGAGCGCTCAAAGGGAAGCCCAGCCATTCTCGCCCACCCACTTCTGACGCAGGAACAAGGCCTGCTCTGAGTGGGGTGGCGTGGGGGTCCCTCACTTTTCTTGCACAAACCCAACGCATCTTCTTTTGCAGTTTCTCCTTATTTATTTATTTATTTATTTTTGAGACACAGTCTCACTCTGTCGCCCAGGCTAGAGTGCCGTGGCGTCAGCCTAGCTCACAGCAACCTCAGACTTCTGAGCTCAAGCGATCCTCCTGCCTCAGCCTCCCGAGTAGCTGGGACTACAGGCATGCGCCACCATGCCCGGCTAATTCTAACTAATATTTTTAGTTGGCCAATTAATTTCTTTCAATTTTTAGTAGACACAGGGTCTCACTCTTGCTCAGGCTGGTCCCGAACTCCTGACCTTGAGCGATCCGCCCACCTCAGCCTCCCAGAGTGCTAGGATTACAGGCGCGAGCCACCGCGCCTGGCCCTGGTCTCTCCTTTTTTAAAGTGCAGAGAGAAGGAAGACGTTCTCAGAGACAACCAACTGGGGCACTTCTGAGCAGACTCCTACACGTGTTAAGTAAACGTGTCCTTTGAGTGAATTAACCAGTGGAGAGGCTCGTGGCGGATGCTAGCCGGTGCTAGATGCACAGAACAGAGGAAAAACAGCTGAGGGTAAATTCTGCCTGAGTGCAATTAGAGCAGTTTTACAGGTGAAGGGGCCAAGGCTCAGAGAGGTTATGTGAGTTACCTAAGGCCACTCAGCAAGCGTGGGACAGGCTTTGGACTGTAAGGGTGCTGACTGGGGAAGCTGACTGGAAGAGAGGCGAGAATGGGGTGTCTGCCATTTGCCAGCAGACCTGGGTTCAAATCTTGCCTCTGGGACCTTGGGTGGGACCTTTCCACCCCACCCGCGAGCTTCCCTCCACCCCCAGGGCGGTGCTCTGTCACATGCCAGCTGAGTGTCAGTTTCTCCTCTGTAAATGTGAGCAGCTGACGCTGGTCCCCCCCCCAGGCTGTCATGGAGGTGAAGGGGGCTGTGTCCCCGTCTGGCCCGATCCTTCCAGCCAGGCTCGGGGTAAACAGGGCAACGGCTGCACACGTGGGACTTGGCAGAACAGGTCCCTGGCTCCGGGATTCCATCGTCCTCAGCCTGGGGGGCCGGGCCACGGCACGCCATGGGGGGAGCAGAGAGGAGACTGGGGGGCGGGAAGGAGGGAGAGGGACCGGGGAGGAGGGAGGGGACCCTCCTCATCGTCAGCCTTCTTCTCCGGAGAAGAAATGAGGGTGTCAGGCACATGCGGGTTTTGGGGTGGCTCCACTCAGCAGAGCTCTCCCTCCCTGTCTGCTGGGCCCCTAAGACCACCCAGCGAGGCAGGGTCCCCCTGTGACAGGTGAGGAAACTGAGGCTCAAGGAGAGATGTCACTCGCCTTAAATCACAGAGTTCGTGGGGCGACCCCGGGCAGTCTGGAGTCTTCCAGAGGCAACGAGAGGAGAGGGGAGGCGGGAGGGGGCCGGGGGAGGACGGCGGCAAGAGAGCCGGGGAGGGGGCAGTGGAGGTGGCCTCTGGGGCTGTCGGACCTTGTCGTCCCCCAGGGAAAGCCTGGCTGTCCCCATGCTTCTCGGAGGGGCTTTTGCTCCCAGGGCAGGTCCTCTGGGGCCGGCGCAGAAGGCTCCCGGGCATGTGGCAGTTGTTATTTTTCCCTGACGAGGTGGCCCCACCTTGGGGCGGCGAGCTCCTCTCGAGCCAGGGACCTGGCATTCTTGGCAGCTGGCGGAGGCTATTTTTAAACCCCACAGCTGGTTTGTGTCGCAGCTGCTGATAGGTACGCGCAGAAACGTCGGGTCCTGCCAACATTCTGAGCAAACGGTGCAGATGAGCGGGGAGGATTCTGGTCAAAGTGGAGGCCGGGGGACCTGTGGCTGCAGGCGGTGCTCTGTCCCCACCGGACCCCAGCTGGGGAGGACAGGAGGCCGCGGGCGGCAGACAGCAGCGTGACGCTGGTTCCCCAGAACACGGAGAGGAGCGGGGACCGTTAGCAGGCCTGGGTTCTGTCCCGCCTGGCTCCCTTCTGGGGGGGCAGAACACAGAGTTGAGAGCGTGTTTCCTGGAGTCCCACCAACCCGGGCGTGAGTCCCGACGCAGCCTTTAGCTGTCCTGTGGCTGCAGGTGTAGCGGTTAGCTATTGCTGCATAGCAAAGCGTCCCCAAACGTAGTTGTTTAGAACCACGTGATTCTGTGAGTCGGCAACTTGGCCTGAACCATCCGCTGGACGGTTCTGGTCTGAGCTGGGGTCCCTCCCGCAGCTGTGGTTGCTGCGGGGTGGGCTGGATGGAGGCTGTTTCTGACCGTCCTCTATGGTGGTGGGGACAACTGGTCTCTCATTCTCTGGCCGACTTGTTCTCCTGCTGGGGACAGGGCTCCGAGAGAGAGAAGCACGCAGGGCTGTTTGGTGTAGTGGGCCTGACACGCCACTGCTTCCAGCTGTCCTGTTGGCCAGAGCAAGTCACGAGACCAACCCGGATTCAAGAATTTGGAAGCAAACTCCCCCTCTTGGCGGGAGGAGCTGCAAGGCCACTTTACAAAGGGCTGTGGACACAGGCAGGGATGAACAGCTGGGGTCATTTAAAAGTATCGGTGCACCACACCGGGTGCCCACGTCCCTGCCTAACCCTCAGTGTCCTTATTTGTGGCACGTGAACAACACGGCTGTTTGACAACTAAGTAAGGTGAGGTGTGCAAGGTTAGAGTCTGGTGCAGTGTAAGCACTTAAAAGCTACCGTCTAAAATGAGGACCTAGAGTTGCAAGAAACCCGCCAGGACCAGGAGCCTTTTGGTAAATATTTCTCCTACCCCCTGCTTGAGTGGAAGAAACAGAAAGTCCCCGTTAGGCAGGACTGAAGTTTGTCAGGCTCGCGGACTCACCAGCTGCCGTCTGTCTGTCCTCCGGGCCTCTGCACCGGGGGTGGGGGGGTGGCGAAGTGGGGGTGTCTCATCCTCAGCAGAAATGTCGGACGTGGCCACTGAGGATCGATGAAATCTTCCGGGACGCCGAGTGCAGCTCTAAGCGCGCACGTCGGAAAGCTGGGTGTTGCCTTGACATTTAATTTGGTGCGAACTGTCCGGCATCGGCCAGTAAACCTGCCCGCTCTGCTAGGCCTGGCCAGCCGCTGTCAGCAGCGCTGGCTCATGTGAGCAGCCACCTCTCGTGGTGACCTCCCCGCTGTGACCTGTTCACACACGCCACAACCGTGCACACTCACTCACCCACGCCCACAACCGTGCACACTCACCCACGCACGCCCACAGATGGGCTCACACGCACGCTTTTCCCGCGTGCCCCGTTTGCAATTTCACGCAGGCCCTCGCCCGCACGCCCCGCTCTGGCACGCCCACCCTCACCGCCAAGCTGCACCGAGGAGGAGCCAGGGGACAGGAGCCCCGTTTTCACCTGCTCGGCCCCCAGGTCTCTGTGTGACCCCAGCGTGTTCCTTGCCGTCTCTGGGCCTCAGGCTCTTGACGACAATGACAACAGTGAGCACTTGCGGACAGAGCTGCAGGCACTATCGTACCTGAGACCCACAGCAGGTTGGCAGATGAGGAAACTGAGGCTCAGACAGGGGAAGTGGCCTGGCCAAGGTCACCCCCACAAGTAAGCAGGAGCCCCCGCGTCTGAACCTTGCTCTGGCCTGACTGCAGAGCTCCCCGCCCAGCTGCTTTGACGAGGGACAGAGGCCGTCGGCCCGCTGCACGGGGGAGGGACGGTGACC